GGTAAACAGGTAAGTATGACAGGTAAACAGGTAAGTATAACAGGTCAACAGGTAAGTATAACAGGTAAACAGGTAAGTATAACAGGTAAACAGGTAAGTATATCAGGTAAACAGGTAAGTAAAACAGGTAAGTATAACAGGTAAGTATATCAGGTAAACAGGTAAGTATATCAGGTAAACAGGTAAGTATATCAGGTAAACAGGTAAGTATAACAGGTAAACAGGTAAGTATATCAGGTAAACAGGTAAGTATAACAGGTAAACAGGTAAGTATAACAGGTAAGTATAACAGGTAAACAGGTAAGTATAACAGGTCAACAGGTAAGTATAACAGGTAAACAGGTAAGTATAACAGGTAAGTACAACAGGTAAACAGGTAAGTATAACAGGTAAACAGGTAAGTATAACAGGTAAACAGGTAAGTATAACAGGTAAACAGGTAAGTATAACAGGTAAACAGGTAAGTATAACAGGTAAACTCACCACACACTGCAGATGAAGAAGCAGAGAATAATCTGCTCTTCCTCATTGTGTGAACTTTATAAAGACTGGTTGTTGAATAAACGGAGCTCTCTGATTGGTCCACACTCTGTCCAGGTGAGGCAGTGTCATGGAGGAAGAATGTGGTTCTTTCATGTGACAGGAAGTTGGATCTGACTGAACTCTGACAGGTTTTCTGACTCTGAACATTAAAAACAGGCAGATTTTATTTTTCAGTTTCTTTGATGAAAACATGAATCATGTTTGATGATCAAAGCAATTCTTTATTTTTTATTTATCAGGAATAAAACATTTATATTTGTAAAGATTAAATTAAGAGGCAGAAACAACAAATGTTTATCATGAATATAAGATGATGTCATAATGGAAGAAATGAATCAATCATTTTGTGATCAGATCCTTCAGAGTGATGATGTCATCGTCCTGTTCATCCAATCACAGGGCAGCTGACGAACATTGTGATGCTACAGTTGTTGTAAGGATCTTTGATCATTCTGAGGTCTTCTCCTCAGCTGCAGGACGAACAGCTTTGTGTAAAAACACCACCTGTGTGGACAGGTGGTCCGGTTGGACCAGGACTTTGACCCACCTGTTCCTGACGATCCAGTAGTTTCCACACTCATCAGAGCTGTGACCCACCACCAGAACCCCGTGGTCCAGGTTCCAAAAACTGCACTTGGCTCGTAGTAGACTCCTAAACCCAATGAGAGACTGGTTCTGAACCCAAACTGAACTGGTTCTGAACCCAGACTGAACTGGTTCTGAACCCAGACTGAACTGGTTCTGGACCCAGACTGAACTGGTTCTGAACCCAGACTGAACTGGTTCTGAACCCAAACTGAACTGGTTCTAAACCCAGACTGAACTGGTTCTGAACCGTTAAATATGATTTATGTCCCAGAACTGAGCGGACCTGTAGAACTGGAAGGACCAGTGACCTGCATGGATGGCTACAGAGACCGGACCCACGGCCTCCATCAGAACTGCTCCGTCACAGGGAACGTTCAGGAACCCTGTGAGGTTCACGGTGCTGTAGGTGGGTCTGAAGCTGCACAGCCGGTCCTGAAGGTCCAACAGAGACCAGGACTTCAGGACACAGACAAACTGGGCCCAGCACCAGCTCAGAACCATAAGTTCTGACTCCCCATCCCTACGTACGGGTAGGACACCTCTGAGTCCAGACCTCCGTTGATGACAACGTACTGGAAGGCCCGGTCCATCCAGCTGCCTCTGCAGCCCATGTTGTCCATGAACCCTGAACAGTCCACCAGGTTCTGTTCGCTCAGGGACACCAGAGCCCCGGTCTGCTTGAACAGCTGGTCCTCCATGGATCCAGTGGCACCGAAGGCCCAACAGGAACCACTGGAACCCTGAATGAAGGTGGTCAGGTCAGGGTTAATGCTGAGTCAGCAAATCTTTTTCCTGTTCTTCCTGACTGGTTTTACAGACCGACTGCTCCTGCATCCTTTACGCTATTTTAGCTGCTCACGCATCAAAACGTTCGGCTCATTCAGGAGAAAAGTTCTGGGATTTTTCATTTTTCCAACTTTTAAAAGGATTAGTTG